GTTGCCTTCTGACACACTTCCAGTGATGTCAGGGGGTGTGGCATATGCAAATAAGTTATGCTAATGAGCTCCTACACCTCTTTTTCTACGAAATTACCCCTATTTGGAATTTATTTGGAAAAATACAGGAAAAGGCAAATTCAAGCAATGTAGAGAAGAAGAAGAGGAAGAGGAGGAAGAGGAAGAGGAGGAGATTGGATTTATACTCTGCCCTTCACTACCCGAAGGAGTCCCAGAGCGGCTTACAATCTCCTTTCCCTCCCCCTCCCAACAACAGACACCCTGTGAGGTAGGTGGGGCTGAGAGAGCTCTCTCGAGAACGGCCCTTGAGAGAACAGCTCTGAAAGAACTTGTGACTGACCCAAGGTCACACCAACAGCCACATGTGGAGGAGTGGGGAATCAAACCCGGTTCTCCGAGATTAGAGTCTGTGCTCCTAACCACTACACCAAACTGGCTCTAAACGTCATACAAGAAATGCAGCAAAAGCTACCTAACTGCCTGACTTACTATACCCTGGGTCAGGGGACACAAAACTGGTTCAGAAATTCAGGCCTCTGTGCAGTGTGGTCTATAGTACCGGTAACTGCAAAGCAGCAAGAAAAGCTTTCAGTCACGTAGAATCCCAGGTAGCTACTGGTAAGGTAAAGGTAAAGGTTCCCTTGTTCGAAAGCCAGTTGAATCCGACTCTAGGGTTGTGGTGCTCATCTCCGTTTCAAAGCCGAAGAGCCAGCGCTGTCCAAAAATGTTTCCATGGTCACGTGGCCGGCATGACTAAACACCAAGGCGCACGGAACGCTGTGACCTTCCCACCGAAGTGGTCCCTATTTATCTACTTGCAATTTCTTGCTTTCAAACTGCTAGGTTGGCAGGAGCTGGAACTAGAGATGGGAGCTCACTCCATCATGTGGCACCCAGGTCTCAAACTTCTGAACTACTGACCTTCCACAGCCTGCAGTTCAGCGTCTTAAGCACTTGAGCCACCGCAGCTCCTAGCTACTGGTACTAGTGACATAATACAGTTATACTTTTAGGGTCAGGAGATCAGGTGAAAATGCCAACCAATCAATACCTGCTGCTTCAGGAAGATTCCAGAACCTTACCTCATACACCCCACTCCTACCCCTTGCACCTGGCTGGATGACCTTGGGCAAGCCGTAAAGAGCCCTTTCTGTCCAGAGCTCTCTCAGCCCCACCCACCTCACAGGGTGTCTGTTGTGGGGAGGGGAAGGGAAAAGGAGTTAGTCAGCCACTCTGAGACACCTTTGGGTAGTGAAGGATGGGGTATAAATCCAGTCTCTTCGTCTTCTTCTTCTTCTTCCTGTCTCAAGGAACAAATCTCATGTGAAACTAATTTACAGCCAGTGGTGTTATGTCCTTGAGAGATGATAAGAAAGCAGGCGAGTGCGGCCAATTAACACCATCTGTGAGGGAGACGTTCGTATTCACATTTAACCCTAAAATGTATGATGAAATTCAGCTTTGCCTCACAGCTGCCTTATACCAAATCAGACCCTCAGGTCCCTCAAGTGTTGCCTACTCAGACTGGCAGGGGCTCTCCAGGTGTCTCAGGCAGAGGCCTTTCCCATCACCTGCTGCCTGGTCCTTTTAACTGGAGATGCCGGGAATCGAACCTGGGACCTTCTGCATGCCAAGCAGAGGCTCTGCCACTGAGCTACAGCCCCACTTCATGGTTCTCCAGGGTCTCAGGCAGAGGCCTTTCCCATCACCTGCTGCCTGGTCCTTTTAACTGGAGATGCCGGGAATCGAACCTGGGACCTTCTGCATGCCAAGCAGAGGCTCTGCCACTGAGCTACAGCCCCACTTCATGGTTCTCCAGGGTCTCAGGCAGAGGCCTTTCCCATCACCTGCTGCCTGGTCCTTTTAACTGGAGATGCCGGGAATCGAACCTGGGACCTTCTGCATGCCAAGCAGAGGCTCTGCCACTGAGCTACAGCCCCACTTCATGGTTCTCCAGGGTCTCAGGCAGAGGCCTTTCCCATCACCTGCTGCCTGGTCCTTTTAACTGGAGATGCCGGGAATCGAACCTGGGACCTTCTGCATGCCAAGCAGATGCCCTGCCACTGAGCCACAGTCCCTCCCCACTCTCTGGCCCTCACTTACCAGCCTCTGCAGGAACCGAGCTTGCCTGGGGAGTCTGCGAGCAACCTGGAAAAGATTGAAGGAAAAGCATCAGCCAGTTGTATTTGCTTTTTTGAACCACCAATAGGAAAAAATATAGTTTCACATCTTAGTGGTTTTGAAAATGTCAACTTTCAGGGAATCATTTCCATCATTCAGTTATGATTTATTTTAGCAGCACAATCACATCTACTCAGAGGTAAGTAGGCGTCCCATTCCCACGGTGGGTGTGGGGGATACCCCCCTTTGTTCCCCTTGCCTGCCACCGCTCTAAGGAGCAGTGGGAGGGAAAAAAATTAAAACCCTACAGCATTGCATGTGGTACCATAGCATTTTCAGTTTTTTAAAAAGTGACATAGGGTAGCTCTAGGAATCGCCAGAAACTCTATGATTTTACCATAGAGTTTCCGGCGATTCCTAGAGCTACCTTTTTGTAAAACCAGAAGTGATGTGGCACTGCCGCTGGCATTGTAGCACCCCCATACCCCCGCCCACAGCCTTCCCGCAAATTGTTCAGTGGTGCTTACTCCCTGGTAAGTGAGCATAGGATTGCACCCTAAATATGCAATCCCAAAACAGAGTTACACCCTTCTAAGCCCATGGATTTAGAAGGTATATATCTGCTTAGGACCACACTGGAAGTCATTCACATCGCGCTTTGTAGTAGGGTTACCAACAATGCCTGGAGATTTGGGGGTGGTGCCTGGGGTCAGAGTTCAGTTTTTCCTAGACTCTGTGGTATATAGGGTTGCCAAATGCGATCTTCACCGCAGCGGGGGACTCCCGTCTGGCGGCTCGAGCGCAGCACATCCTCGTCACTTGGAAGTGACGCGACCACGCCGGACACGCTGCAGGCGGGGCCACGACCATCTGAGGGAAAACCATAGAGTTTTGTGAGGTAGGTGGGGCTGAGAGAGCTCTTTCCAGAACTGCCCTTGAGAGAACAGTTCTGAAAGAACTTGTGACTGACCCAAGGTCACACCAGCAGCTGCAAGTGGAGGAGTGGGGAATCAAACCTGGTTCTCCCAAATTTGTGTCCACGCACTTAACCACTGCACCAAACTGTCACGTGTAATCCTTACGTTGGAAACCTACTCCTATGATTGGCAGAAATGTTTCTCAAAAACTTGAAGAATTGAATGGACTTTTCGTAATAACATCGTGGTTGTTGTTTTTCATTTTGCATTTACCAATCCCGCGATCCCTTTGGCTACTGTAACCTCCAGGTGGTGGCTGGAGATCTCCTGGGATTACAACCGACCCCCAGGTGACAGAGATCTGACCCCCTGGAGAAAATGGCTGCTTTGGAAGGTGGACTCCAGACCCCGAGCATTATACCCCTAACTCCACAGAGGTCCCTCCCCTCCCCAAAGCCCACCCTCTTCAGGCTTCACCAGTTTGGTGTTGTGGTTAAGTGCGTGGACTCTAACCTGGGAGAACCAGGTTTGATTCCCCACTCCTCCACTTGCACCTGCTGGATGACCTTGGGCAAGCCATCGTTCTGTCAGAGCTGTTCTCTCAGTAAAGGTAAAGTTTCCCTTGCTCGAAAGCCAGTCGAATCCGACTCCAGGGTTGCAGTGCTCATCTCCGTTTCAAAGCCGAAGAGCCAGTGCTGTCCGAAGACGTTTCCGTGGTCATGTGGCCGGCATGACTAAACACCATATCGCAGTTCCCCCAGGTGAGGTGTGGGGGGAGGCGGGCCACACAACAAAGCCCCACCCCCTGCTTCCGGCCGCCCCACTTCCGGCCCTCATTCAGCCAGGAGGAGGCAGGAGAAGAGGGAGGGTAAGTTGCTTCCTCCCCGCCTCTCCCCACCCCTGCCTGCCTGCAGCCAGGGAGGGCCTTGGCGGGGCTTCCTCGCACTCCCGTCGGCCTTGCAGGTCCACCGCCAGGCCCCTGATGTCAGGGGGTGTGGCATATGCTAATAGGTTATGCTAATGAGTCCCCCCAGCTCTTTTTCTACGAAACGACCCCTGGTCAGGGGTATAAATCCAATCTCTTCTCTTCTTTTTCTTCTTCTTCTCCCAAATCTCCAGGTATTCCCCCCTCCCAAGAGCTGGAAAACCTGTGCCCTACACACATTTCAAGGGAAGGTTAACACAGTGGCCAACAAGCTGTCTTCGCGACAATTTGTACACCACGGATCGCAAGTCCCATCTTTTCACTGTGGAAACCTTGCGAGGGGCTCCAGGAACAGACTGTGAAAACCTCTGGATCACTATCAATAGAACGGCCTAGCCGGTAATCAACCTGCTATTCGTTAGCTGTCACATTTGTGTATATCTGTCCACACACACACAGACACACACACGCAGGTTGGAAGAGAAACCAATTAGCAGATCAAAGCCCTGCAAAGGAATCCGAACCATACTGCCAAGGCATGACCCGGTCGGAGGCTTGTTTTAAACAGTGAACTCGGGAGGACCGGGGAAAAGAATGCAGAGCCCTTGGCTCGCAGCCAGGTTCCCATTGGAAAGGGGGAGAAAATCGAAAGAAATGCCTGATTTTGCAATTCACCTTTGCGGCACCCGCACACGAAGCTGCCTCCCCCCCCCCCCGCCCCCGGGCCCCATTTCTGTGCTTTTTGCAACAGAAGTGGAACAGGTAAAGATTTGTCACCCGGCCCATGGCCACAAAGGTGCAAGGGAGCAGATCTGTTGATCATCCAGAACCAGCCGTGATGACAAGTAGAACATGCTAACAATTAAAAAACCATTGTTGAACGCCGTGGCTGTAATTCAAAGCATCCTATTACCATAGTGAGAAACAGATACACTCGGAACTGTCATTACACCACAGTGGAAATATCCTAGGGCCGAGCCCAGGACAGAAGAAGAAGAAGAAGAAGAAGAACAGAAGAAGAGGAGGAGGAGGAGGAGGAGGAGATTGGATTCATACCCCGCCCTTCACTACCCAAAGGTGTCTCAGAGGGGCTTACAAGCTCCTTTCCCTTCCCCTCCTCACAACAGACACCCTGTGAGGCAGGTGGGGCTGAGAGAGCTCTTGACAGAAACTGCTCTGTTTTCAAGAACAGCTCTTATCAGAACTACGGCTTGCCCAAGGTCAGCCAGCCAGGTGCAAGTGGAGGAGTGGAGAACCAGGTTCTCCCTCTCTCGCACTAATGAAGCGCCACAGCCCCCCCCCCAATCTGGGATAGGGGGGTGAAGGTATGTCTCCAAAGCAGGGCCTTCAACCTCCAAACCTCCTTACTTGAAACATTAAACATGCTCAGGTGGTTAAGACGCTGAACTGCAGGCTGTGTAAGGTCAGTAGTTCAGCAGTTCGAGACCTGGGTGCTGCAAGACGGAGTGAGCTCCCGTCTCTAGTTCCAGCTCCTGCCAACCTAGCAGTTCGAAAGCCAGAAATTGCAAGTAGACAAATAGGTACCACTTCGGTGGGAAGGTCACAGCGTTCCGTGCGCCTCGGTGTTTAGTCATGCCGGCCACATGACCACGGAAACGTCTTCGGACAGCGCTGGCTCTTTGGCTTTGAAACGGAGATGAGCACCGCAACCCTAGAGTCGGATTCGACTGGCTTTCGAGCAAGGGAACCTTTACCTTTACCATGACCATCTGGAACAAAGGTGTCGTCCCAATACTCGCAGGAAGGCTCGATCCCCACGTCACGACTATGCGCAGCGTTCCAGCAAGAAAGGATTTTGTGCATAGGAAAAAAACATGCTGGTAAAGAGGGAAATTGGAGCATTTGCCCCACAAGACAAACCATCTGGGATTTGATGTCGCCGGAGAGAAC